TATGCATAAAAAATCAGAGACATCTTATTAATAATATAAATGCTGGTTCTGTGAAAAATAGCAATGTAGAGACTCAGATTCAAATTGGTCGAAATTCCAAGAGTCATAAATTGGTATCCGAAGTTTAACGTCAGTGCTGTAAACCAAAATGCTAAAAGATATACAACTCGCAATGCCACAACTTACCTTCTTCACCCACGAAAAGCATTTACTCACCGCCCCAAAGATGGCAGGATGCAACACAGGGTTAGTTTAATGGGTTGGGGGTGTCGAGCGCGTGCACCCAAGCCTGGGCCCCAAATTGCCCAGCCCCTGCAACCATTAGTTGCGCTGGCGTCCGTATTAATACCGACCCCGCTTCTTTAGTGCAATGAGGGTGGTACTGGTGCAGGCAGCTCTTCCCCGAGACCGGGCACCTCTCAATATATTTTTTTTTAATTACGCTCTATCCGCAAACAGAGACACAATTGAGTTACGGTCTGTCCGGAGGGGCACAAGAGTCTCAGTATCGTCCAAAGCAGCGTTATTTTTTTAAGGTTGGTGCAAAAATAATGACGTAATAATGTCGTTTTGTGACGTATTTTTTAACCTCAAAAAACGACATTATTACGTCATTATTTTTGCACCAACCTAATATTATGGTAAGAAACATTGTGATGGGTCGAGACTGGTAGGAAAATGCAAAAAATTAACATATTCCGAAAACTACTGAAAACGACCCGTATTTGATTCTGATTTTTTTCCCCACAGATAGCACAGAGCATACGAATTCTTTTTCGAGAGACGTCTGGGGCGCCTGCGTTGACCTCTAGGGCTCCGGACGATTGACCTTGATAACTACCTTCATGAACCTATCTGTTAGGAAGGATTTTATGATCGAGAAGACCCTTCCAGAGATTCCATAACTTGAGAGCTTGTGTAGTAAGGCTTTGTGGCATACCTTGTCTAAGGCCTTTGAGATATCTAATGCTATGGTCCTAGATGTGTGTTTGCCGTCAAGAGCCTAACTGATTCTGTAAGTGATGGTAGTTAGGACGTCGGCAGTGGAACGGGCCGGCCGAAACCCATAATGAAGAAATTGTTCTACTCCAGGTGCTCGCTGATGATACTGATGATTATGCATTGGAAGGGAGAAGATCGCACAACGGCATTCTTGAAAACCGTGTATACGCTTGACACATGCTTGGGAAGGATTTCTTTTTCAAGCAGCGGTTAAATAACTTTGCTAGGATTGTGGGTAACTCCGAGTTGTTATTCTTAAGGACAACCACTGGAATTTTGTCTGGGCCACTGGCTTTCTTAGGGTTAAGGCCCTTGATAAGTCTAGAGACTTCTCGTGCTGTGATGGTAATATTACTGAGATTGTGCTCGGTGAGACGTAGGAACTTGGGGAGGGATGGTCTTTGACATCTAACGTTGATTTAGAGGCAAAGTTGGAGGCGAAGAGGTTCGTCTAATCTGTCGAGGAAGATATGACATCGCGGCCATTTATAATTGTAGGAACAGCCACTTTACCTCTGTTCATAGTTTGGTTGGTGATCTTCCAGAATTCACGAAATCCAATTTGATTTTTTTCAACCTTGGTCTTAACTGCTCGTGCATAGCTGCACTTGGGGTATTCTAGAACTTTTTTTTTTTTTTTTTTTGCAGCGATTGCGGGCAAGTTTGAATGCAGTGAGGGCCGAACTACATCGCTCCTTGCGGTAGATATTGAAGAAATGGTTTCGGTGAATTACTACTTCAGAGCATTCAGTGGGGAACCAGGGTTGACAGTTTGATTTTTGCTGGAAATTCTTTTTGGTGGGGGTATAAAACTCCCCATTCTACAAAGAATCCAATCAGTGACAAAGGCAGCAGTTTTTGAGGCAGCATGCTTGAAGAATGTTGGGAGGGGAGTTTCCATTATGCAGGATCCTAGACTACCTTAGCATATCGAAAAATCGTTCTATAGAACAGTACAGTTGGTTAGGTTAGACAAGCTTTTGTGTACCTAGTTAATGTGAGTAAGAGTTGTTCCTGATCTGTTTCCGGTTGCTTCTTTGTTTATGATCCAAGTCGAGATTCCCAACCTCCGCAGTTTGTTTGGCCTCCTTTTTATCTCGACTGGGTCAGTTTTATATTTTCCATGCCCGTATAATTTTTTATCCTTTTCCCACTCCCTTAACGAGAGAGCTTCTTGATTTTGTCCAATGGGCAGAATACAGCGGCCTCTCCTTTTAGAGGGTTGGACGGGCCCTACTAACATCAGTTATGTTTAGTTTGCTTTGTGTTGAATTTTAGTTTATTATTGGGTTCATCTCCTCCCTCTTGTTCTTCATAATTATATTTTTATATATAATAATTTATTACCATTAAATTTTTAAGGCATGGGGGCGCGTTTTGTTGGGTCCCCTTGAGTGGATACGGTATTATGGTGGATGGAGGATTAATTGGCTACGGACGAGTTCTTATGGTGAATGTGGAAACTATAATGTGTGAATGGGTCGTGAATCAGATTAGCTAGCTATAAGATAGTTAGTGTCGACCAGTCTCAACCCCTCCCTATTTTGGCCTTGTGCCCCAATTGTATTTCATATACAGCAGGGGATGCCTTAGTTTGGGCATTCCCTAATCAATGTCCCGAGACACTGGTTAGGGGATGCCTTAGTTTAGGCATTCCCTAATCAGTGTCCCGAGACACTGATTAGGGAATGGTCTGACGTGCCTATTGGAGATAAAACTTTTGATAAGCATTGATCAAGGCAGGAGGTTAAAAAGAGGTTGAGGATGTTCGCCTGATGTCCAGTCGTTTCTGGGAATCGAGTAATTTCTCCGATAATCTAGGTCAGTTCACAAGCGATGGAGAAGCCTCTACAATATCTGCCTACAACGTCGGCTTTGTTGGGGTGGACTAACCACTTTTTATGGTGGATATTGAAGTCACCGCAGATATGAAAGATGGCCGGGGGGAATTGAGTAAGGATATTATCAATCTTGTCAGATATTCGGTCGAAGATTATCATTCCATCGTCTTGAGGCCGGTAGAAAACAAAGACGAATGTGGTATTATTAATACGTGCCACGCGGATGCACATATGCAGGAGATCGGGTTCCCCTATTTTTTTCGTCCCTATCACAGGCAAACTCGTCCTTTATGTGGGCTCAAAGTTCATAGCCGTGGCGATTTAGGTGGTCATGTTTGGCTATAAGAGGTGAGTATCCCGGGGCTGTGAATTCCTCTAGTGCGCCTGAAGCGAGGATGCCGGTTTCAGAAAGTAACAGCAGGTTTGGTTTAGACTGGAGACGATGATATCCCACTTCCGGAAAGTTGGAATGTAGACTCCTCACGTTGGTGTAGGAGATGGTATACTAGAGATATACTTTTGTTTTTTAGGTTGGGTTTGATAGTTTTGTGCATTTGTATTTTGATTGGTTTCATGTGTGCATTGGTTCGTAGAAGACTAGTAGGCAAAGAGACAGACACACCAGCAGGAGTTACATGCATAAACAACTTGGAGAGAATTGTCCAGATATACAGCCGTAGCAGTACCTTTCACCATGGCATCAAGAGGCCCCACCGGAGACTAATGCACGGCGCAGAAACCATCCACAAAATCGCAGTAGTATAGTCTCGACATTAAACTCATGCTGATGCGATAGCCTCCTTCGGGGTTACTCGAAGGTTCGAATCTCTGACTATCAGGCGGATAACGCCAAAACCCGAAAAATGTCAAGCTCCATCACCCTTAATGCAAGGCCAGTCAACCCAGGAAAGAAAATACATGCATGATGCTCCGAGTGGACATTTCGTGTCTACCCAGAAATCAAGGCAACATAACTCCTCCTTGGGTCAGAAACATCATACCTGTCTGAGACCTAAAAGCATCGAAACAAGCTCGCTCATGTACTTGAGGACTAAGAGACCCAGTAGGAGAAGTTGGCAAACGAGGGTTGCTCGTGGATGCATGTGCATCCCCTGCCCCCATTTGAATTAGCATAGTAGATGATTACAAGGGCGGGGACCTACAACGGAGAAGATTCAAGAGAAGAAAAAAAAGAAAGAAAAAATGCAGGCTTACAAAGGAAAAACATTATGGATCGGAGGGAGGGAGGGATTGTGGACAGGGAGTCTGAAAGAACTATAAAGTTTGAACTTAGTAATAAATCCCAATATCCACTTTGTTTTGAAAGGTGGATAGACTTCACTGTCCACTAACCCAGGCTAGAAAAACTCCCATTAAATACATTGGCCTTGAGAATTAACAATAAAATTAATGTGCAAGTAATTTATGCAGATGTTAGCATGCGCGCACGCAGACACACATACACAAACACACACACACACACACACACACACACACACACACACACACACACACACACATATATATATATATATATATATATATATATATATATATATATAATATATTTGTTCTGGATTCCGTGAATGGAATCCTGCACAAATAAATAAACAACGCCAGAAATTGAAATAAGAATAAGTGTATTAAACGTAAGAATACAGACTTGAAGTGAAGATTAGTAGTCCAGGAATGCGGGTTAGTAGAAAGTAAAACGCCTTAATATATATATATATATATATATATATATATATATATATATATATATATATATATATATATATATATATATATCTGAGAACATCTTGTGTCTGTCTCCGTATCTCTCAACCTGTCTCACCGTATCTCCACGTATCTCCACATATCTCAACAGCAGGTATTCTCTCTGTCAGTATAAGTATACTTTGGACGAATCCATCTTATGTAAAAAGGGGAGAGACCCACAATATATATATATATATATATATATATATATATATATATATATATATATATATATATATATACAGTGCCAAATACTAACAGAAAATTTAAAACAAAGAAATGGAGAGAAAAAATACTAGGAAAATGGTGAAAGAAGGAAAAAAAAAACAAATATTCAGAAAAGTGACTAGAATTATTAAAATAAATTAAGACAGGCGAAGTTTTCTGGTGGTTTCATTAAACAACTATTAAAGCGAGTGTGATTTTGGTCACACTGGCTTTGGTGGGGTAGAGACGAAACTTAAAACTCTTATATGATTGAGATAGATAGATAGATAGATAGATAGATAGATAGATATTATATGTTATGATTGAGGTAGATATAATATGATATGATTGTGTTAGATGCTTATATAATAATATTACATATGATTGGGATAGATTGATATATAATACGATGGAGATAGATATGTTACATGATATTATAGGATTGAGACAGATACATATGATATTATATTATATTATATTATATTATTACATAAAGGTGATATATGTAGGATCCAGATGCATATATATGCTATTATATATGAATGAGATGGGTTATGATATTATATGCTATGAATGACTTGGATATATGATATGATTATATATATATATATATATATATATATATATATATATATATATATATATATATATATATATATATATGTGTGTGTGTGTGTGTGTGTGTGTGTGTGTTTGTGTTTATTTATTACATGATATTATTGTGATTTTTATACGTATGATATAGTTGAGATATATATATGTAGATATGTAAATATATTATATGATTGAGATAAATATATATAATATAGATAGATAGATAGATAGATATGATATATGATATTATTGAGATATATAGAAGTTTAATTGATTGAGATTGATATGATGCAGTTGAGAAAGATACGATATTATTTATGCTTTAGATACATATATATGCTATTATATATGATTTAGATATATATCATTGAGATAGTACATTATATAGATAAATAAATATATATAGGTAAATATAGATAATAAATATATTATATAATTGAGATAAATATTATATGACATATATGACTGATATATATATATATTATATTATTGATATAGTTATATATGTATATAATATGCTATATATGATTGTGAAGCATATATAAATAAGACAGATATGATATATATATGATTGAGATAGATATATATGATTTAGATAGGTAGGTAGATATCGTATGATATATGTCATTAAGATACATATACATGATTGAGATAGATATAATTGAAATAGGTCGATAAGTACATATATATTATATTTACGTAGATAGATATTATACATAGAAATGAGATAGGTATATAAGATTGAGATAAGCAGATATATAAATATGATATATATAACTGTGACTGAGATACACATATGATATATATGATTGAGATAGAGTGATAGATATGATATATGATATGATTGAGATATATAGATATATTGTATGATATGTTTGAGAGACGTATTAGATGATATGATTGCGATAGATAGATATATTATAAAATTAGATATGGTAATATATATGATTGAGAGAGATATGATATTATATGATACGAATGATAAATATATATCATATGATTGAGATATATAGATAGATATATGATATGATTGATATAGATGGATATGATTAAAATAGTGATGTATGGTATAAGAGAGATATACGATTGACATGGATAGATATATTATATGATCAAGATAGATAGATAGATAGATAGATAGATAGATAGATGATATAACTGAGATAGATATTATATATTATCATATGATGTGATTGAGATAGATAAATAGATAGATAAATAGATAATATATAGATGTATATGTATGTATATATATATATATATATATATATATATATATATATATATATATATAAATATATATATTTTTATATATATATTATATGATTTCGATAGATAAATAGATATGATATATGACTGAGATAGATATGATATTATATGTTATGATTCAGATGGATAGACAGATATGATATTATGATTTGGATAGATATGATATATGATATGATTAAGATTTATGTATATGGTATATTTTATGATTGAGATAGATAGATAGATAGATAGATAGATAGGAGCAGACTAATAGATAGATAGATAGATATAGATAGATAGATAGATAGATAGATAGATAGATAGATAATGCTTGCTAGTTCATGTGTGAGCGTTTGTGTGTGTGTGTACATGAAAGAGTGTTCCTGTCCCCTATTTCATAAGTATACATATTCTCATTCTCACATTCTATGCCTTTCTAGGCATTAGCACAACTGTGCGGATGCATATATTACACCGGCAGAGACGCTTGCACCAAGGCAAACCTGTAATCACATTTGCATACCCTTCAATTGCTGCTGCTATGAATACAATCCTACCCCTTCAACCATCCCACAAAAAAAAAACGGGCATGTGTAAATAATCGCGCATACATCCTCATACACGCACACAAAGAAGCGAGGAATTTTCGGTGATTGTATAAGTATGACATTCTGTATAAGTGTGATGAAACACGTGCAAGCATTTTCACTTTCAAACTATTTACATTCAAACTACAAATAAAAGCGTGTTTCTTTCAGACGAGTTAACAAAAAAATATAAAGTAACCACATACACGCAGGAAATGGAAGATGGCAGCATTATTTCGACCATGGCGCACGAATTAATTGAAACCGTATCAAGACAGTGTCGTTTCCTCTCACAATCTTTAATGTTACCATCTTCAAAGAGGTCGGCGTTTACTCTCCACTTGTTTTGGAAGCATCTATCCCACCTTCTGTCTTTTTTGTCTATCTTCCTTCTTTTTTTTTTCCTATATATATATCGTCTGACTTCTTCATTTTCTCCCCAAAATAGTAAAAGAATTAAAGACGGAAGGAAGGAAAGAACGTCTCGTTTAGGAGGTTGACAAGTTAAACCTTCTGGATCTCTTCGTATTAAATACACCTTTCTTTTCTACATTTTTCCCCAGTTCCGCTTATTCTTTTATTTTTCTTATTCATTGATTCGTTTGCGTGTTTTTTTTTCTTTCGGACGTTAGGGGAACATGCATTTATGCAGAAATTCTGCCTGGGGGCAAAGCTTTAAGTTTAAACAGTGACGCAAGCAATGAAAGAGAGGTGAACATTAAAAGAGGGTATTTTCTCTCAGGCTTATAACCAAATTCATCCTGTTTTTATCAGGGTTGTAATATAGGAGTAAGCAGATTTTTTTTTCTATTAAGCTTCTCACTAACCTGGTTAAAAATATTTCCAAGGTTAGAATATATGTATATATACAGATCCACATACACGCATATCAACTTATATTTCAAGCTGAAAACGACTAAACACAAAATACTTAAAACACGCGGTCAAAACTAAATTTGAATGCGTTCAGTAAGTTCCAAGTTTGACTAAATGTGATCTAAAATTTTCACTATATAAGGTTTAATATAGAGGTTTAATATTCACTTTTTTTCTTCTTTTTTTTTACTAACTAGAATTTTTTTTTTTTTTTTTGAAACATACTAACACACGTTGAAATCCTGAGAGTATTTAGTATTGTTAAAGTTATCGCTAACATTTTTATCAAGATTTACAAACTCTGCAATCCGTTCAATTTCACAAACTAATGAAATTTAAATAAGCTGATTTATTTGGAAAAATACTTTGACAAAAACCCTACTACGTGGTTTTTACGCACCCCAGTAAAACCAACTATATTTTTTACCCCCTTATCTGTTTGCAATTCTCCCCAGAATTTTCGATCGTTCAATGTATGGTTATTTTAGATGCTGTGACGGACGGACGAACAGACTAACGGCAGTCACAAAATTTTATATATAGAAAAAAGAATGTATTCTCTTGAAGAAGCCAAACATAATAAAAGTGTCGCAAAATATATATATATATATATATATATATATATATATATATATATATATATATATATATATATAGATGTTCTCACAATACAGGTGAAGGGTTACTGAAGGCGATTGTTGTATGAGTGGCAAAGTTTATGCGGTTATGTGGAAAAGATAACAGTTAACCTGAGACTTGAAGATTTCAGTGGTCTTGAAAGCATCCTTCTGGGATTATGTTCCACAAAGCAACAGTTCTTGAGAAGAACCTATCCGAGTGGAACTTACTCCTTACTAAGTGGTCGAGGGTGGTTCGCCTTAATGTATGCGGTGTGACGGGTCTTAGCTGGCAGGGCTAGAGCTGGAAGAACGGAGGAATGTAACCCGTTTCAACATTTTCCATGGAAATAGCGGTAGAGTAGCGAAATGTTTGCAACGTTTCGCCTGTTGGAAAGGAGTTTAAGGTGAAAAATGATTCATCACTCACAAGACCGTGTAGACACTTTTCAAGAATGGGAAGTGAAGACTGGGCAGCGCTAGCCCAGATAAGGTAGCAGTACCTCTTTTTCGGACTTATCTGTCTCTTGAGAGCATACCAGGTGAAGTCAGGTACTTACTGCAGCAGTACAGGGAAGCGGCCATTTTTCCAGCACCTTTAGCGATGGATCGTATATATGAGCTGCATTTGATATTTCTAGTAAACTTATTTTCATAGCTTTACATTTTGTTTATGTTCTTAGCCAGGATAAAAAAATATACAGAGGTGTGGCGTGAATTTAAGTCCTAATAAACATTGAAGGTAATGAGCCGTCTTAAGAGAACAGTCGTTTATTGCGAATTAAATACATGCATAGAATGAGATTATTTAGCTATTTCTTGTTACTAATTGCTTGAATGGCTAAGTAATTATGGGGGAGTGATTTGCGTAATTACCTACTCGTCCACTCTCTTCTATGTCAAACATTGTAGCGCGCAAGAGAGCAGGGAAATCTTTCGTCAACTGGCAACATGAGAGAGTAGAGTTATGTAGTTTGTCGTAGCCGCTTTACACGTTCATAACCAGTAGGTCTCCTCGACTTTGCAGACAGAAGAATATACAGTGTAACCCGGATGTAAGAGAGTTGTCGGGACCGGAGAAGAAGTCTCTTATATCCGGGTTTCTCTTATATCCGGGTTTGGTCTATTTTGTTTAGGTAAGTATGGGAACATTTTGGGACCAAATAAAATCTCTCTTATATCCGGGTTTCTCTTATATCCGGGTCTCTTATATCCGGGTTACACTGTAGTCACAAACCAATATATATAGAGACATGAATACGCATATAAGGTCATACTATCAGACTATCTAATAGTACGCTTCTTCTTCTTCTTCTTCTTCTTCTTCTTCTTCTTTTCTTCTTCTTCTTCTTCTATGTGACATGTCTCTTCAAAACGTAGCCGATCATGCCTCTCCACTATTTCCTTTCCTTCGTATCTCTTAATAATTTTTGTCCTTTTATAAATTGCTCCTTGTTCCACCATCCATTTGCGCAGTATCGCTAAGTAGTTTATGCGTTCTTTTCCTCTGCCCCTCTTGCCTTCAATCTGTCATGTGAGTATCAGATTTTCCAAACCCTCTTTCCTCATTATGTAACCTAGAAATTCCAACTGTCTCTTCCTGATGTTATGTATAAGTTTTCTTTTTTTGTTTCCATTTTCTCTAAAACTTCCGATTTCTTTTTTCTGTCTCTTAATACTTTGCTTAGCTTTTGAAAGGCATCTTTCGCTATCCTAATGCGTCTTCGGATATCAGTGTTGCACTTTCCGTCGTCTTTTATTAAAACACTCCCCAGATTTTTTTTTTTTTAATTTTTGTATTTTTTTAAGTTAGTGGTGCTTTTAAGTATCAACCCACGTGATTGTTCGAAGTGTGGATCAAACGAATCTGGTTTACCGGAACCTGACAGCTGGTCTCCCCTCTAACCTAATTCCCACATCTCAATGGGGATCTGGCTTGCATTATTCACTACCACCAGAACAAGGCTGGTAGCGTTTTATGACCATCTAGCAGAAGATGAATTTGCTCCAGTATTTATGGGTGGTCATAACTTCGATGAGTTTCCTTGCTGCGAATAGCTGTTGGATTTGAATGGCCGGTTATTTGTATCACTCCAGAAAATAACTAAATCCTGCTATGGTCTATCTTTACCAAGAGTCAAATTATACCAAGGCTGGAGTATTGCTACCATATCTAGGCTGGAGATGCTCAATATTTTCTCTCTTACTTATCTTACGCCTTGCGAGTGATAAATTCTTTTGAACCCTGCAGCCCTTTTGTTCACAGACGAAACCTTGCTAGCCTCTCGCTAGCCTACTGACGTTACTATGGCAAATGAACAAATGAGATACATTACTTGGATCGGACCTTCACAGCTGGGACCAGCCATGGAGAGTATACAGCGTCAAATCATCTTCTCTCCCTTGGTATTTCTTTGGTAAGGAGTAAGTTTCACTCAGTCAGCTTCTTCTCAAAATATGTTTCTTTGTGGAACAGACTCCTGAGACGATGCTCTATTACAATCTTAACGTCTTCAAATCTAGAGTCAACCGATATCTGTTCTACATATTCTCCTAATATGCATCCCTGTACTTCACCTCACTAAGAGACCCTCTCGCTTGAGTGGCCCTTAAAGCTAGTATTGGGTGATCTGTAAATATATATATATATATATATGTGTGTGTGTGTGTGTGTGCATGCTTGTTCAAGGAAGCATAAGCTACAGATAGATTGTTTAATGCCATATCCCGTCATGAAATAGACGATATTGACTCTCCACAAATTCCTTTTATTTATTATTTATTAATTGCTGTGATTTCTTGGGAAACATAGCGGTGTGGTTTCTGGTTGCATTCTCAATGATTTTGAATTCTGGTTTGTCGTTTTCCTAACGAATCCATTTCCGATAATCAAAGAGAGAGGAGATGGATTCATGCCTTTTCAAAATACACAATAAGACACATTCTTATAGTCATAAGGCCACTTAATGGCAAAAGTAAGAATTACAGATAGACAATATATATATATAAACATTTAGACCTGGCTAGTAAAAAATACGGCCCAGGTGACTACCAATTGTGGCTCGCAAGGTCTTTTCAAAATATTAAAGACAGGGTAAGATTTTTCTCACCATCGCTCTCTCTCTCTCTCTCTCTCTCTCTCTCTCTCTCTATCTATCTATCTATCTCACGCTCTCTTTCTAACTCTATCTCTATCTCTACCACTCACGTTCTCTCCCTCTCTATCACTCATGCTCTCTCTCTCTCTCTACATTTTTCTTACTCATACCTATTATTAGTTTGATCAAAAGG